CCCATGGCGCGGTTCTCTCCGGGGGTGGGGGTCGCTCAAACGGCTTTGATTGACGTGTTCCAGGCCAGGGAGGCCGCCAAGGACTATTTTCGGAAAGCCTTCCCACGGTAGCGCAAGGAGACAGCGGTTGGTGATGAAACCGTAGTTTCTGCGCGAAGCCTCCCGCCTTGCTGGGTTTCGACAGTCGGCTTCTTTTCTCCTCCCGCCCTTTTTCCCGCGAATCTGAAAGTCTAGTTACTGCCACCAGAGGGAGCTCTAACTTCATTTGTCTTCCACTTTTGATGCCTGGGGTGGATGCACACACTAGGGAACTTTCCCTTTGCACCGCCTGTCCAGCTGATGTTGCAAAAGCCAGAAGGGCGTCAACGGGTCGGTAGGATAAGATTCCCTCTACATCCCAGGGCTTCTGTCTTGAGGTTCAATGGGATGCTGCCGGTCTGCCCTCTCTTTTTCCTTGTATCCTCTTTATCCACCCGCAGTTCAGCTGGATGTCAACCTGAGCCATAAAAAGATAAAGGGGCAAAAGTGAGGAACAATAACCCAACTTCTTGTTACTGTCTCTTAAACAGGGAATTGCATTGCAACTCCTAAGTCAAGGGTCTTCAAACTTGGCAAGTTTAAGACTTGTGGACTTCAACTCCCAGAATTCTTGACTAACATGACAGGAGGAGGAATTCTGGGAGTTGAAGTCCACAAGTCTTAAAGCTGTCCAGTTTGAAGACCCCTGTCCAAAGTGCTTGGAGCAGCTTACTAGGCAGGCCCTAATATCAGGGTAGCTCAGAAGCGTCTGAAGCTTGGAAAAACTAGGTAGGGAAATCACAGCACTCTGGCCCTTTCCTCTAAACCAGGGGTCCCCAACCACCGGTCCCTGGACCGGTACCGGTCCGTGGAACAATTTCTACCAGGCCACCGGTTTGCTGGGCGCCGCCATCTTGTTTTGATGAAAAAGTGCTTCTGGTGAGCTTTTCCGGGTAGAAAGCGGTGTTTGGGTGCTGAAAGAATCCTCGCGCCTTAGTTTCATTGGGGGGGGGGCAGCTTCAAACAAAACTAAGGCGTGAGGATTCTTTCAGCACGCATGGCAAGGCGAGCCGAGCGACCGTCCCGAAGCCGTCCCGAAGCCCATCGATACAGGTACAAAGGAGGAGTTGAAGGTGGCGGGGACAAGCGGGGGACGGCTGGCTGGCCGGTCGCTCGGCTCGCCCTGCCATGCGTGCTGATGCTGGTACCGGGCCGCGGATGATTTTGTGATGCCGGTACCAGGCCGCGGCACAAAAAAGGTTGGGGGCCACTGCTCTAAACCTCCAAAGGATGCTCTGCCTACCCTGAGATGCCACATGTCCTGTAAGTGAAAATATGGCTATTAAATTCTGCTTGTGACATGGTGGTTGGCAACGGTTGTATGCCTATTTGTTAAGTATCCTGGATTATCTTCATTGCATGCCTCATTACTGTGGCCCACAGGAATAGGGCTCTTTGTGGCAGTTTAACCATAGCAGGAAAAACAATTTCAGTAGGTAAAACAAGCTAGTCTGGCCGAGCTGCTGGGTTAAGCTGGGTGAAATCCACTCTCCTGGGAGACATCTCACTGCTGATATTCCAGTGCTGAAGCAGAGGAAATACACTATTATGAAGGGGAAAGATGCTCGGGACTAAAAGACAACAGATAGTGTATACTTTTGTGGCCATGCCTCGTTCTCCTTTGCTAACTGCCTTCCATGGCTATTTTGCATTGGTGCTAGGCCCCTTCAGATAACACTCTCTCATGCTTTGCAAAATATGCCTTGGGCCTCACAGAGCTTCTAAAATGGGTATTTTGGAAACCGGTTCCTATATGGCAGGAGTGTCATTCAAGGCTTGGGGGCTGGATCTGGCCCTCAGGGTGCTTAACATCTGGCCCACGGAGCCATCCTAGAAACAGTGAAGGACTGGCCCATGGTGCCTCTGCCAGCAAAAACAGGCTCCTGAACTCTGTTTTTGGCTATGATGGCCTCCCGAGCTGTTTTCGCTGGCAGGAGGCCATTGCAACCAAAAATTGAGCCCTGGAACTCGTTTTTGCTGGCAGAGCACTGGGGCTGCCACAGATGCCTCCAACATGAGGGATGTCAAGCTGGCCATGCCCACCCCAGCCACAGCCCCCCAAGGTCAAACACAACCCTGATGCGGCCCTCAATGAAATTGAGTTTGACCCCCCCACCCGCTATATGGGCACGATATCACCATGACACTGAATAGTCCAAGAAATTCATCTACTTGATAGCAGCTTTGATATGCTTGTCATGTAAAGGCGTTTTGCCTACCTGATGCTATTTTGCTTACTCCATGAGACACTACTATATGCTGCAGCCACATATGGTTGATTACCCCCTTAGGTTACGGTCATGGTAAAATAAAACCTTTTTAAGCCCAGTAATATGCTAGGCAAAAGTGCTCAGTAGGTTGCTTGGTGGATAGACTGCTAGGAGCTTCATTCCATACCCTGCCTCTACTCCACCAGCTAGGCAGCTTCTGGACCGAGGTGTACTGGTCTTCTGGTCATTTGGGCTTTCAGAAGACTAGGAGACCCAGGTTCAGAAATAGCTCAAGCAACAAGTTACCCCCCCCCGTGGAGTATTTCTGCAGTAGCAGCCTCTCATTTGGGCAACTTGAATGTATTAAAACAGGGGTCCCCAACCACCGGGCCCCGGACCGGTACCGGTCTGTGGAACATTTTCTACCGGGCCGCCAGTTTGCTGGGCGCCGCCATCTTGTTTTGATGAGAAAGTGCTTCCGGTGAGCTTTTCCGGTTGGAAAGTGGCGTTTGGGTCCTGAAGGAATCCTCGCGCCTTAGTTTCATCGAAGGGGAGGGCGGCTTCGAACAAAACTAAGGCGCGAGGATTCTTTCAGCACCCAAGGCAAGGCGAGCCGAGCGACCGTCCCGAAGCTGATCGACAAAGGTACAAAGGAGGAGTTGAAGGTGGCGGGGAGAAGCGGGGGATGGCTGGCCGGTCGCTCGGCTCGCCTTGCCATGCGTGCTGATGACAGTACCGGGCCGCGGATCATTTTGTGATGCCGGTACCGGGCCGTGGTACAAAAAAGGTTGGGGGCCACTGTACTAAAAGACTGTCAGAATCTGCCATGCTACACTTTTAAGGAGAGGGTTGTTGCATTTTTCACTGCTGACACCTAGTGGAAGAACTAAGGAAGGTTGCAATGATGAGCATGAAAAGAGGGAGGGAACAGCTTTTCTCCCCCTTTCTCTCTTGCCAAGATGACAGGAAAAAGAGCTGGTGAAAGGAACTTTGTGCCAGTTTTCTGATTTCAGCAGTCACAGACATGCAACTTGTGAAATAGCAGTAGTATCAGGATCAGTACTCTAAATTCCAAATATTTGTTGGATAAACTGAGAGGAAATGGTGAAAACCAAAGTCACATTTAAGTTCACTATTACATTATCAGTGGAACTTTATGATAAAAAAGACCAACGTATTTACAGTCAGTTTTTCTTTATATATCATGCTTATTTGAGGGACTCCCTCTGCCTGATTTTATCTGCCCATCCCACCAGATCCAACACAATAGGCATGTTACAGCTTCCATAGTTCCTAAGGAGCTGCCTTTGGCAGGCCCTGTGAAACAAGACTCTCCTGCTGTGGTGCCCACACTGTGGAATGTTCTCTCCCCAGAGATTAGTTTGGCTTCGTATCTCCTGAGCTTTCAAAGATTTCCCTCAAGATCCGGCTATGGCAACGCATGTGGGGACACCAGAGGATGGGGGAATTCATGAGGTTAACTGTTTTCAGTTAACTGTTTTCATCCTTCAATTTATTATATTGTTTATATCAATAGCCCCCCCCCCCCCCAAATTAAGCCAAAAAACTTGCATTAAAGAACTTCACAGGGCTCCAACTAGCTAGCTTACTTTCAAGGGTATCACTGTGTTATTGCAGAGACAATGCCCCTTATATGCCATGCAGGAAAAATAATGCTTGTGGCCAATAAAATAACCAAAGGATCAGTCATCCGACCTTTTATAACTTATCCTCTGTAAGGCAAATAAGGTTGTAAGATGTAATTGCTTCCTAAATATCTCATTAGAGGTAGTCCTTGAGTTATGAATGTTGAGGTAGTCCTTGAGTTAGCCTGCCCATTCCATTCGTAACTCGAGGATTAGTGGGAGTGAATATCGTACCTTCAACGGGATCACTCCCTCCTTTCACCCGTGTGTTCACTAATTGAATGAGAGGCTCATTAAGTGCACATGAGGTGGGGAAGGCCTTAGTGGGCCTAGTGATAGAATAGGCCACCTACCTAAGACACCCAAGGCCTCCCCGACCCCCTGAAATATCTCATGCTCCACACAATTGCTTCCCCCCTCCAACCTGTCGTGTTGGGTCACTTACCTTGTGAAAATCTAGTAGGCAGTCTTCTCGTAGGTTGCTGGCCGAAATGAAGCTTCTGAGGGGTGAATCTGGCCCTCCGCAGGCCTCCACGACAAATTGCAAGTCGAAATGGAGCTTCCTAGGTCAGGAACCTCCATTTTGGCTGGCAATGTGCTGGGTGAGGCCCCTGGATGCCTGAACAGGGCTTCTGAAGGGTTGATACGCCCCTCAGAAGCACCATTGTGGCCACCAACGCTCAGGATGAATGTTGCAGAACCTCTGTGGCTGTTCAACTGCCATGGTGCTGTAAGATTCGTAGTTTCAGGCCTTGTTTGTAAACACTAGGGGGCGCTTATCACATAAGTTTGAACTTTTGCTGAGGGAATACTCATAACCTGGGGATTACCTGTAAATGCTTTAAAAAAGATGCAAGATTATGTTCCAGCATCGAAGATACATGATTCGAACAATTGAGTGTCATGTTTAGAAAAGGTGACTGTGAGCCTATCAGAAATATTCTGAACTGTATTTGAAATTTCCCACTTTCTGCTTTGCTGTAAATACTTCAGAACCCAATAATAAAACTGCTGCCTTAATTCGAACCACTGAGCAAGAAATAAAGGAGCATTATACTCCTTTCTATTTGGGGATGTCACACAATTTAACCACTTGACAGAAGGCCTGATGTATTTTGGCTTTTTACATTTATAAATATGCAGGTAGCCCTTGACTTACAAAGCACAATTAGGACCTGAATTTTGGTCGCTAAGCAATGTAGTCCTTAAGTGAATCATGTGACCAGACCTAATTTTATGACTCTTTTTATGTAGTTATTAAGTGAATCACAAGGTCTTTAAACAAATTTGGATTTCCCAATTGATTTTGCTTGTTGGAAGCTAGCTAGGAAGGCCACATACTTGCAAGACACTGTAACTTGAATTGTGACTGCAGGGAGGTGTGCCTCCATATGCAATAGTACTAATTTTGGGGACCAGTCATCAGTCACTTTTCCCAAGGCCACCATAACTTCAAATTGTCAAACTAACATTCCTAGATTGAGACTATCTGTATCATTATGACCCACAGATGGTAATATATAAAGGTTGACAATAGATGGCGCTCTAGTTCCATTTTTTTCCTTCACATACACACACACACACACACACACAAACACAAAAAGACCAGTCATAGTACTGTACCATACTAAGGCCTAGCAACTGATTTTAGGACCTTTACAATCACTACTTTCTACTATGATTGGTCTTTGTTGTGTTCCCATATGAAATGGACTTTTATAATTAACAATACTAAATAATTTAAATACAAGGTAACATTATAGCATCAAACTTTGCAAAAAAGCCCACCCTTGTTTTTTATTTATTTACAACCTTTCTCTTAAAATTTTCTGCCATTTTTAAACAGAGTTCAAATACGCAAATCCTGAGTTTCATAAATTCATGAAGAAGCACAGAAAACTGCAGGGGCTCTGAACAGCCGGGTTTGGGAATAATCCCTTTTATCATTTGTACTATGCTGAAGAGTTCATGAGCTCATCTACCACTTCTCCCTAGAGCCAGATCATGCAAAATCTTGGAAAAGAGACAAGGCTGAGCCTTCAGAAGAAAAAGCATATTCAGTTTGTATACAAAATACTTCAATTCTCAAAGTAATCAACACCCTGAAGTTGTTGTCCAAATTATTTAAAAGTGTGGAAATAGCCAAAGTCCACTTTCCATCACCCGTCTACAAGTCACAGCTGTTGAGGTTCTTGCCTAATTCTGAATGTCCACAAGCCACGGATTTTAGAAGCTTGAACATGCAGCTGAAGAAGAGGACTCCTTTTCCATGGAGTCATTTAATGAAGAACGTTTTGGGGGGGTGCAGCAACTGTTTCAATGTCTTGTCTTTTGAGGGTAGAGCAGACACTAAAATGAAGTGTGAGCACATTCAACAAATTCACAGGAGCAGCTGAAAAGCCGGAAGCTGGATTGGGAACAATTCTCTTTTGCCGCAGATAGTGAAGCAGAACACATTGAGACAATGCAAATCATCCATAACTGGCACTGGTGTGTATGCGTGTGTGTGTATGTGTGTGAAGGGGAAAGGCTTATACCCAAGGAGAAGCCAGGCCACCTGGTCAGTAAGAGAGAAGTCCTCCTCTAAACCAAGAGATATTAAGTTCCCAGGAACCAGGCGAGAAATGCTCCTTGGTATTATAACTCTACTGCTCCTCTGCCCAGAGATGCCCCATGGAATCTTCATTAGATACCATATCTGAGTGGAAAGGATAAGATGGCTCCTAAAGCCAGGCCCAAGGAGAGAAAGAAGGCCATGATGGCTCCAGCAGTTTCCGCTTCATGAGACAGCACCTTCCTAGAAGGAAAAACAAAAACTAGTCAGCACAACATCCGGCCATCCAAATACCAGTTGCTTCCCATACACTGGCTGGACAGCACATTTCCCTTCTTTACAATTTGTTCACCTCAAGCCGCACTTACTTGGGTCCAAAGCACATGCAGAGGCTGGCCAAGTAACCATTGGAGATGGAGAATAACGGCATGAAAGTGAGGTACCAGGCATCGTGAGCAAAGATGACAGGCAGGTAATTGCGAGGCTGCACGTTACACAGCATGAAGAGGGGAATGAAAATCAGACGGATAACCACCAGGAAGGGTAGCAGGCGGCTCTCTTTTCCAGGCTGTGGGAAGAACAAGAATAATATATTATGATATCAACTGTGATAAAAAGAAGACTGGAAAATTGTATCATAAACACAACTCCACAAAAATTTATCCCTAAAAGCCTTCTCTGCCCTGGTGTAACAAATAAATAAATGCTATCAAGATATATATTGACAATTCATTGCTGTAGATCAAATGTAGATTTCCCCTCTCGGTGTTATTTTCTGTATTAATAATTTTGTTATGTTCAAAAGATCCATAATTCTTATTGCCTTGATGATAAGGGGTGCAGCTAAGATTTTATCTTTAATAGATAATGATAAAACCAGAGTCATATTAACGCTTACCAAGAATGTGGCAATAATAGGACATATTCATGTTCTAACACTAAACTGCATTGTCAAGAAGAAAGCAACTATAAGTAACTCTTAACCATTTTCATGTGAGATATCCAGTAAACATAAAATACTTTTCCCCCCTCTTAGCCTCCTTTAAAAATCACAGCTGATTATTTTCAGAAGATTTAGAGCAGCTCTCCAATAGCTAATCAGGATAGACCATTCGAACTTCTTATTTAGAGGATGCAGAAGTAACTACTTCCTTTTATCTTCCTATAAAAAGATTCCCTTTGCAGGGAATTTTCACTATACAAATTACAATTATCTATTGGGAAAGATTTATCACTTGGCAGTTATTTTAGCTGCCGTTAAGCTACTGTTAGGAATGGCACTAAGAGACTTTCAGAATTTACTTTCTCTATATACTTGAGCATTATAACTTGATCCATTACTACTTGATCCAAATCCCTGCAAGTATTGGAATCACTTGGAACCCTGCATGTAATGCCACAAGCTGTAGATGGAAAACATTGAGTTGCTTTATCCAGGAAAAGCTTGCATTATCGGAGGTAAATGCTTTATGTGTAAACTGGGCTTCCTGTAAATTACTACATTTGAGCAAAGCAATTCTGAGGAAGCCATTTCTACATATTTTTCATAACTGACTTGGTTTACTTCAGACTTCTGGTTAGCGGTTTACTCAAGTCATGCATTTTTTACTTAATAAAAAAGATTAAGTAACATCCCAATGAAGATTCTGTTGCGTTGTGGGAAAAAAGACTCGAGACCCAATTGATCTGTTATTCTCTTTATTCTCTCTAGAACCTGATTCCGGCGATACCGCGGCAGCCTTTTTTATAGCGGGCTGCTCGCAGTTCGTGGCCAATGATGGCTCTTCAAATTTCCCGCCGCCTGGACCGACCTATCCAAGGTGAGTATGCAAATATATAACACCCCTCCCCATGTGGTCCAGTCTAACCAATCAGGCCTCCCCTATGTTACGTAGTCACGTAAATAGGTGGGGCTCTTATGGGTTCGACTGGACCTGCGCAATTCAGTCATGGTTTTGTCTCCAGACTGTTCAGACGGGTTCGCTGTTTCTCCCGTTCTCTTCCGTGGAGCCTCCTGGAAGGTAGAGTCAGCCATGCCGCTCCCGCCTGGCCTTTCCGGGCTGGTTGAGTCAGCTCGGCCACTCCCGCCAGGAGTGGCTTCTTGATGGTTCTCCGAAGCCTGCTCCAGTCTTTCAAAGCAGTCTTCTTCTTCTATGGTTTCAGGTACGTGTTTGCGATTTCCGATCGGGGCTAATGTTAGTATTGGTTGTTGTATCGTTGTTAGGGTTTGTTTTGTTACTTCTCATACTTGTGGAGGGTCTCCCCCTCCCCTCTCGTTTGTGTTTGAGGGGTCTCCCCCCTCTCTGGTTTGGCTATTTTTGTTTAATATTTGAGGCGATTCCTGTGTTTGTGTAAGTTCTTCCCATTCTTCCCCCTGCTTGTTAGTGTTTCTCAGTGTGGCCCGCGATCTGATTTAGTCTATGTGTCTCCTCCAGCTCTTTCTGTCCTCTGTCTCTACCCTGTATGACCGGGGTCCTGTTATTTGGGTTATTGTTGCTGGTATCCACAATTGTTCCCCCGTGAGGTTTTTTGCATAGACTAGGTCCCCTGTTTTGAATGTGCGGCACTTACTGGAGGAGTCTGTTGGCTTTTCAGGGCTATATGTGGGATGTAGTCTGTCTAGGTTAGATCTTAGTTTCCTTCCCATTAATAGTTCTGCTGGGCTTTTATTTGTTGTGGTGTTTGGTGTAATGTGTTGTATACTTAGTAGCTTATATATCTTTTCCTGTATATCTCCAGTTCCCAATTTGTGTAGTGTTTCCTTAGTATAACGGACCATGTGTTCCGCCCGTCCGTTCATAGCCAGCCGACTTGGCGCTGTTAGTGCGTGCCTTATCCCTTGTTCGGCTAGGAACCTCTCAAATGTTAGTGCCGTGAATTGTGGTCCGTTGTCAGATACAACTAAATCCGGCAATCCATGTGTCGTAAAAAGCTTCCTTAGTTGTCTAATAACAGCTTCTGTTGTGGTTGAGTGCATAATGCTTACCTCTAGCCAATTTGAGTAAGCGTCTACCACTATTAAGAACGTGTGTCCTTTAGTTGGTCCTGCAAAATCAATGTGTATTCTAGACCATGGGCCCCTAGGTGTTTCCCAGTCGAGTGCAGGTGCAGAAGGGGGTGCAGGTCTAGATTCTTGGCATCGTTTGCACGTTGCTACCCATTTCCCAATATCCTTATCCATCCCTGGCCACCATACATAACTCCTAGCCAGGGACTTCATTCTGACAATACCCGGGTGACCCTCATGCAATAATTCAAGTATTCGTTCCTTCAATATGTCCGGTATGATCACCCTATCCCCCCATAGTACACATCCTTTTAAGATAGATAGTTCCGTTTGTCTATTCCGAAACGGTTTAACAGCCTCGTCACTTGCGGTCTCTGGCCACCCTTTACCTACCCAATTTAAAATCCGCGCCAGGTTTCTGTCTCTCGCGGTTTCCCTAGCAATGTCTGTTGCTGTTATGGGTAGGTTTGCCAACGTCTCGATTTGCAGGGTTGATGTGGTTGGTGCAGGATCATCTTCTAACTCAGGTAGGGGGGAACGGCTCAGGGCGTCAGCATGTGTTATGTTCTTTCCTGGTCGGTAGATCAAGTTGTAGTTATATGCAGCGAGGAATTCGGATCACCTCGTCATCCGCGGTGACAGTATGTTAGGTGTAGCTTTGTTTCCTGCAAGGATTCCTAAAAGGTTTATGATCTGTGACAAGTGAAAAATTTCTGCCATAGATGTACTCATGGAACCGTTCTACTCCTGTTATTGCGGCCAATGCCACTCTATCTAATTGGCTGTAATTCTGCTCTGTTTTTGATAGAGTTTTTGAATAGAATGTGATAGGTGCTTCTTTTCCATCGGGTAATATGTGGCTGAGTATGGCACTGATGCCGAATGGTGACACATCACACGTTAATGTTAGTGGCAGGGTTTCGCTGTATTGTATTAGCACACAGTCTGATGTAAGTAAGTCTTTTATTCCCTGGAATGCTGTTTCTTCTCATTGCCCCCAGGTCCAGGTAGCTTTCTTATCAAGCAACCTGTGTAGTGGTTCCGCTATCGTTGCTTTCTGTGGCAAAAATACATTGTAAAAATTAATAAGACCCAAAAAGGCTTGTAAATCTGTTTTATTTTCGGGTCTGGGAGCTTCCTTTATTGCTCTGATTTTGTTTTCAGTGGGGTGGATCCCTTCTTTGTCTATGAGGTATCCCAGGAATTCAACCTTATCGGTGGCTAATTGGCACCTCTCTTTTTTAACTTTAAGTCCCGCCTCTTTAAATTTTTGTAAGACCTCCCTCAGGCGGTCTTTCAATTGTTCTTTGTCCCTGGCTGATACTAATACGTCGTCAAAATATGGTACCACCCCCTTTATTCCTTGCAAGAGGTGTTCCATTAAGCTCTGGAATACCCCTGGGGCCACGCTAACTCCAAATTGCAGTCTGTTGCATTTGAATGCCCCCCTGTGAGTCACAATTGTTTGTGCTTCCGCTGTTTCTGGGTCAACCGGCAATTGTTGGTAGGCTTGCGCAAGGTCCAATTTCGTGAAGATTCTACCTCCCCCCAAAGAATGTAAGAGGTGCTGTACCACCGGAACTGGGTATGCGCTTTGTTGTAGCGCATGGTTGAGGGTTGCCTTGTAGTCTCCGCAGATACGTACAGACCCATCTGGTTTAATAGGAGTAACAATTGGGGTTTCCCACCTTGTGTGGTCTATTGGTTCTAATACCCCCTGTGCGATAAGTTTATCTAATTGTTCATCAATTTTTGGTTTTAACGCGAAAGGAACTCGCCTCGCCTTTAACCTTATTGGAGCTATATTTGGATTCAAATTAAATGAGATAGGGGACCCTTGGTACTTGCCCAGTTCTCCGTTGAAGATGTCCTGGAATTCTTTCATCAGGTTCTCTTCCCAGTCTGTCTCAGTGATGTTGTTTATTCCGGTTACTCCGATTCCTAATGGTGCAAACCATTCGAGTCCCAGTAGACTGGGGCGATCCTGGTCAACTATGGTTAGTGGAAGGTCTTTAGTGTGTTTTTTGAATTTAACTTTGAAATGTCCGGTTCCTACTACAGGAATTCTGTTTCCCTGGTAGTCTTTTAGTGTGAGTTTTTGTATTTCTAGCTCTCTCTTTTTTATATCAGATATTAGACTTTTGAGGGTGTTCCACGATACCATTGATAAATACGAGCCGGAATCCACCTCCATCTCACATGGCTGATCTTCTATGGTGACTTGCACATGTACCTTTTTCGCATTGATTGAGCTTGAGTGTCTGATAGTTATTGTTGGATGTGTTTCCTCTTTTCTATTGGCTTCTTTCCACCGCTTGTTTCTGCTTTCTTGACTCCAACGGCTCCCTATTTGCCTTTCCCTCTCCCTGGGAGGGGTATTCCATCTTTGTCTAGGGCTATAATTATTTTTGTTTCGGCATGCCCTAGCTATGTGTCCCCGCCGTTCACAATACCTGCAAATAGCATAGAAAAAACGGCATTTGGAATGTGGATGGTCTCCTCCGCACCCGGCACAACGGAATTCTGACTTCCTTTCCTTTCACTCCCATCTACCTATTTCC